TCAACCAATTCAGCCAAGTTTCAGCAAGCCGAACGGGGCCGATATTCTGTCGACACTAAACATACTAGGACTTCTCAACTAGCAAGGGGGTTACACAAGCCAAACTAGAGAGCTCAACAACTACTTAGCTACACAAACTAAGCAAGGCAACTTAGCTACACAAGCTAAGAGAGCAACTAGCAAGCTACACAAGCAAACTAGCTATACAAGAGCAACAACATGGGAAGATGATGACACGGTGATTTACAGGAATTGCTACTTCTTTAATATGTGCTTCTAACTCAGCGGGGATGTTAGGAATTGGAAGCTCCTCAACTGCAGCACCCTCATTTGCTTCCTTGAAACCCATGTCCTCATAGATTTGGTCCTCATTCACCAAAACATTAGCTTCACCATCACAGTTAGACTTAAGCAATATAGTTAATGTGCACCAATCAATAACATGTTCATCAGCTCTGGCTTCTCTAGGAATGCTGCAAGTGCAACCTCAACCTTCTATATGTTCTGCATTAACGACCCCTAATGTGATAACAGTAGAAGACTCAAAGTGGCTAGAATTACAAGCTATTGGAACCTTTTTGTACCCATCTTTCTCAACAACATCACAACTTACGTGCATTTCCTTCTCACCCAACCTAAACAAAATCATCTCCTCAAATTGCTCACTACCAGTAACCTTCCACTCTGTTGCACCATCTCTGCCAACACCCCAAACTAGTAGTTGCTAGCTGGACCCCCATATGATCTTGCTAGCCATATCTAGGAACCTAGAAAGTGTGTACACATTGTAACTGTCAAACCACAGGTCATGTTCTTGAACTTCTATGTCAAACACTCCATAGCCATTAACCAATGTGTACTTAGCAACACTAATATGGATTCTAAAAGCATTGCGAGGATCAATCCTGACAAAATCATACACATAAAAAACTAGGGGGAGTTAGGACCAAACTAACTCCACAGTCTACATCACATTCTTCGTCAGAAATGAAATAAATACAAGGCAAAAACGTAGATACATACAACGGGAGGCAAGGAGACAACACCATATTGTTACTATATAGGTTTGGCCTCCATCCAACGCGTCTTGCAACATAACATGCATGATTGCGAATCCGGAACCCTAACCGCCATCAACATGCCACAAAACCCTAACCACACATATCACAACCACATATGCCGCCCCTAGGGACAAGAGGGCTCTAGATCTAACCTTGGAGGCCGCCCTGCTATGATGTGACTTGCCGCCACCATTTCTGTGCTCCGACTAGACATGGCCGCCTCCCCCAATCCTCAGCTCGTGCCGCCGTTGGGAATGAAAAGAGTGAGAGCGAGAATGAGCAAACGGGGGCAGACGAATGCGCATTAAGTGGGAGACGACAGGGGTAAAAGGGTCTTTATTTGCTCGTGCCTGCGTGTTTGGGCCAGGCCAAGTTCCCCGCTGGTGAGGTGAACTGGTGTGCGAAAATGACAAAAAACGTAGGGTAGCTGCTGTTTTTAGTGACAATTTTGTATTTATCCATCTAAAAAGCTGGAAATCGAATTGGTGGCCTCCGTATGAGTGCCAAATAGTTAAATATCCTTGGCAACCACTGTTAACGGAAAGATGACATGTGGTTGGTCCGCGTAGATCTGCGTTATTAATCCAAATGGATGCTATACCTATATCTCATTGGGCACAAATTAAATTAGAGTGAAGCGCCAGAGAATTCGGTGACCACAGAGATTATCTAGGACTAGCTAGCCACTTATTGACGAGGCTTTATTCTGCGGCTAAAATCGTACTTGCCCACTTTAAGGTTCAGAAACCAACCAACCAACCGTGAAATTCTGAGCATCGATCGAGAGTGTCCCCAATGCAAGGCATGGCACACCATCGTCTTCACCACCGGCTCCAACTCGTGTGCCTCGTCGCCGTCGTGTTGACGGCCGCCCCAGCTGCCCATGCGATCTTCCATTTCGACTTCCGTTTGGACACCGACAGCCCGTTCTTCGGCCGCTCCGCCCGGGCTTCCAGGTATGACACTTGGCGCCGCGCCGCCCTCGAGAGCAACGCCCAGCAGGCGAGGAGGCTCGCCAAGGCCCTCGGCAAGCTGAGCGGGGCCGCCGCCGCCACCGACATCGCGGCGGCCGACGTGACCATCTCCCCGTACACCCACCAGGGCCACTGCCTGACCGTGGGCGTGGGCACGCCGCCGCAGCCCAGCAAGGTGATCCTGGACCTCGGCAGCGACCTCCTCTGGACGCAGTGCAGCCTGGTTGGCCCCACGGCGAAGCAGCTGGAGCCCGTGTTCGACGCCGCTAGGTCGTCCTCCTTCTCCGTCCTGCCCTGCAACAGCAAGCCGTGCGAGGAGGGCACGTTCACCAACAAGACCTGTACCGACCGCAAGTGCGCGTACGAGAACTACTACGGTATCATGACGGCCACCGGCGTGCTCGCGACCGACACCTTCACCTTCGGGACGCACCACAACGTCTCCGCCAACCTCACCTTCGGCTGCGGCAAGCTCGCCAACGGCACCATAGCCGAAGCGTCCGGCATCCTGGGCCTGTCTCCGGGCCCCCTGTCCATGCTGAAGCAGCTGGCCATCACCAAGTTCTCCTACTGCCTCACCCCCTTCGCCGACCGCAAGACCAGCCCGGTGATGTTCGGCGCCATGGCCGACCTGGGCAAGTACAAGACCACGGGGAAGGTGCAGACGATCCCGCTGCTGAAGAACCCGGTGGAGGACATGTACTACTACGTGCCCATGGTGGGGATTTCGCTCGGGAGCAAGCGGCTGGACGTGCCGGAGGACGCCCTCGCGATAAAGCCCGACGGCACCGGCGGCACGGTCCTCGACTCGGCGACCACGCTGGCGTACCTCGTGGAGCCGGCGTTCAAGGAGCTGAAGAAGGCCGTGATGGAAGGCATCAAGCTGCCGGTAGCGAACCGGAGCGTCGACGACTACCCGCTGTGCTTCGAGCTGCCGCGTGGCACGTCCATGGAAAAGGTGCAGGCGCCGCCACTGGTGCTGCACTTCGACGGCGACGCGGAGATGTCGCTCCCGCGGGACAACTACTTCCAGGAGCCGAGCCCCGGGATGCTGTGCCTGGCGGTGATGCAGGCGCCTTTTGAAGGCGCCCCCAATGTCATCGGCAACGTCCAGCAGCAGAACATGCATGTGCTCTACGACGTGGGCAACCGCATGTTCTCCTATGCGCCCACCAAATGTGACAGCATCTGAGCTGGTACTTATGCATGCAACTACTACTATACAAAGATAATTTGTCTTTTTTTTTGTATCTTCAAAATTCAGAGGGCAAGATAATTTCTATATATAGGTATTAATCATCTCATCAAGAAACCTTTTTGTAGGGTAGATGCTTGCATTCTGTAATAGCCACATGGATAAAAACAATAACGAGGCCTGTTATTACCAAGAAAAAGCGAACAGATAGAGATGAAGAGATAAGAAATTATGAATAATTAATTTCATACTTCCCCCAAGCTCTGGGTGTCAGAAGACATTACTGATGATCGAACGTTTCAATAGAGTTTTGACTGCTCACAATTCATAACCTAGAGCGTTGTCTATTTCTTTTAATGGAGGAATATTTTAGAAATAACTTGTGGTAGCAAATTTGAAGGTACATGATATGCGGAAAATATTTTTGCAGACATGAGATCTGTAAATTTTTAAAACAAATGTGCGCCCCACATTGTTTCGCTCTTAACCTATCATACAAATACAAATAGGCAATTGTAGTTTGCAGATTAATATTACACAAGTGATGACTGATGAGGAGTATCACAAGGTGACTTTTAGAAGTGTGCACAAGCTACGCTTACAGATTCAAACGGATGGAAGTGACGTGATCAGGCGAGATATATAACCGCTGCATGGAGCGTTGGTGCTGTTGTAGAGAGTTACCCTTATTGCTACAAGGGATCACTACCGAAATCCTTAAATTTGCCGAGTGTTTTTATGTTTGCCGAGTGTATTCCCTCGGGCACTCGGCGAACAAGTTCTTTGCCGAGTGCCGCGCTAAAAACGCTCGGCAAAAAAAACACTCGACAAACAGGACGTTTTGCCGAGTGTAAAAAAAACACTCGGTAAAGAGGTGGTTTGCCGAGTATTAAAAAAACACTCGGCAAAGAAATAAAATCTTTTTTCTGGAAAAGAAGGAGAAGAAAAAAATGATTTTTTTGCCGAGTGCTCAGATCTAGAACACTCGGCAAAAAAAAGAAGAAGAAAATGAAAAAAACTTTGCCGAGTGCCCCATCTGGAACACTCGGCAAACAAAAAAATATCCTACTTAACCGTGTCCCCAGCACCCCACCCCTCCCATCCCCACCCCTTCTCTCTCCTCCTGGCCCCCAGCGCCCCCTCTCCTCCCGACGGCGCCGCCTCCCTCCCCTACCTTCTTCCCCGGCGCGGACCCTCCCCTCCCGCTTCCCGGCGCCGCCTCCCCACCGGTGAGATCCGGCGGCCGGTGCCTCCCCTCCCTCCCCTCCCTCCCTCCCTCCCTCCCTTCTTCTTCCCGCCGTGGCCGGCCCCTCCCTCCCTCCTCCCTTCTTCGCGGATCCCCGCCCTCCCTTCTTCCATGGTCCCCCCTCCCCTACCTTCTTCCCCGGCGCGGCCTCCCCACCAGTGAGATCCGGCGGCCGGTGCCGCCCCCTCCCTCCCTCCCTCCCCCAACGGCGAGATCCAGGGAGGGGGCCCCGCGGTGGCGCACCCCAGGCGGTGGTGGAGGGGTGGCCCGGCGTTGCGGGCGCGGCACGACGGCGTGGCTTTGTGGGCGGGGCGTGGCATGGCGCGGTGGAGCTGCCTCTCACCCTCGCGGCGCCCGGATCCATGGCGTGGCGTGCGCGCGGCCTCTCTCCCTCACTGGTGCTCAGATCCACGGTGGCAGCGGGCGGAGGCGGTGGCCGGCGAGCACGGGTCCTCGCGGCAGCTGTCTCCTACGACGCGGATCCAGGGCGGGCCGGCCCCCACCAGCGTCGGCGTTGCGGATCCATGGCGGGGCGACCCCCACCCGCGGAGGCGGCGGCCAGCGCCGGTGCGAGCGGGGTGGCCGGATCCAGCTCCCTCCCTCGTTCGCTCAGCACGGCGGCGTGGATCCAGGGTAGAGAAGGTGGCCGCGGATCCAGGGCAGGGAAGGTGGCCACGCCGTCGTTCAGCACGGTGGCGGCGCGGATCTGGCTCGGTGGCTTCGACAACGGCAGACACGGCAGGATCCAGCACGGGAGCGGCAGATCCAGCATGGGAGGCTGGTGCTTTTTTTTCAAAAAATATTTGCCGAGTGTTTTTGGGGCACTCGGTAAAGTCTTTGCCGAGTGGCCGACAAAAAACACTCGGCAAAACAGCGTTTGCCGTCAAACCGTTTGCCAAGTGTCTTTTGCCGAGTGTAACACTCGGCAAACGGTTTGCCGTATCCGGTAGTGGATGCGCTCGTTCTCTCCATAGCCCTCCTCGACCTGGCTGACTTTTTTGTTTTTTAACCTTTTCTTTTGAGAAAAATTTACATTTACACTCTGGTAGATCTTATCCGAATATACACCCTAGGGGTTGGCGCCATGACCTTTGACGCTGAGGTTTCCATGACCCCAGGGGGCCATATTGATATATAGTGAACATTACTTTCGATAATTATTATGGCATTTTAAGCCCATGTAATACGCAAAAAAAGGTTTCGAAATGAAAATTTTATTATCGACCAGATGTTAACTGAAGCGCCAAAGACTGCTCAAGAACTGGCGATCACACATGCGCACGTAAGTATGTTAGCTCACCTCATCTTGCTGGCTTCCCAAGGCCAACCCTGATCCTAGCCGCTCAGGCTACAGGCTAGAGCAAACAGGTTCACTACACATCCTAGTAGCACAAGCTCATATGTGCATGCCCTGGCGCCCATCTATGCTTTCAGTTGTTCTGCAGCGTTTCCTACGGATGCACAACCAAACAGGACTCCCAGTGCCTGTCATGACTAGCTAGCTGTTTATCACTTGCTAATTCTTGGGAGATGGTATATCCAAAAATTGCATTGCATATCTTGTGTTTTTTAAGTGCAAACTGAGAAGTATATATATATCACTACTAGTCTACCACAGCAGTACTACACAACTATTTCAAGAATTATTAAATGATCACCAAGATCTTGTACCTTTTGTGTTTCACTAATTCATTGAGACGAAGGACGACACACAAAGGATGAAGACACTGCCAAAAATCGTTGTCATGACTCTCATTGAAAGCTAGTAGAATCAAACTTTTGATTTTCCTTCCATTATTTGGTCACCCAATGTCACACTGAGTAAACAAGCAAACATGAATCTGGATGCAGTGTGTAGCATGCTGCATGCAGCTGAACATCCCATGTGGCCATGTTTATACTATACATATATACAAGTGTGGCAGGTAAACTAGTTTGATATATTTGGAACTGTTGTAAGTATATTGCAAATTGTATTGGGTGATGATAAGCTGTTATAGCATTGGGCAGCTACAGCTGAATTGATGAAAGTGTGACACCGAAGAAAAATGTCGTTCCTAGTAAGCTAGACCTACGGCAGCAAGCAAGATTAAGAACAGCATCTTGATGCGATGTGGGGAGATCTATTTTAGACGTGTGACATCTTTTCCTTAGTCATCAGTCGATCGTGTGTTGATCGGCTGATCCGGAATGCGTTACAGGACTAGCGGGCAGGGCTCCTAACGCCTTCTTGACTTTGTGCTGTGTGTCAGTGTGAGCTCGGCAAAAGAAGCGCTAGCTATCGGGCCATCTCGTGGAGAGCGTGGCTTAGTGCAGTTCATTTCGATCGTGTCTGTATCCAAAGATTCAAGCTCTCACAATCTCTGGCACCTGCAGCCCAGTTTCCTGATGCCTCCCATACATAACGCTACTACACACAGGGCAAATGCAAGCTACGACTCCTATTGGCTGGGATGCTCGGTCACATCTTTGCCATGCCGGTCTGCTTCTCGCGGGGTGACTGAATTTATAGTGCCGATTGCCATTGTCCATAAATCAAGAGATGTAGTAAAGGCGTGCAGTGCATCTAATAAAAAGCAGAACTACGCACATGAGGAATTGACAAATTCAAGATAGCTCCTATCCTGATTTTATGATCAGGATAATCCACATTGCCTACTCCAAGCTCGGGGTGTCAGAAGATATTACTGATGATCAAACGTTTCAATTGACTGCTCACAATTGATAACCTAGAGCATTGTCTATTTATTTTACCGGAGAAATATTTTAGAAACAACTTGTCGTAGCATATTTGAAGGTACATGATATGCGGAAAATATTTTTGCATACATGTAAATTTAAAAAACAAATATGTGCTGTACATTGTTTCGCTTGACGTGTCCTACAAGTACAAATAGGCAATTGTAGTTTGCAGATTAATATTACACGAGTGATGAGGAGTATCACACGGTAAGTTTTACAAGTGCACACAACTACACTTATAGATCCAAGCGGATGGAAGTGACGTGGTCAGGCAAGATATAAGGGCTTATTTGCCTCACCAACTGGAAGCTCGCCTGGCCCACGCAAACGTACCCAACGGATGCGTTGCCTGGGCCAGGGTGTTATCCAAACAAGCCCTAAAACCGTTGCATGGAGCGTTGGTGCTGTTGCAGAGAGTTACCCTTATTTCTACAAGGGATGCACTCGTTTTCTCCATAGCCCCCCTCAGCCTGGACGGAGTACTCCCCTCGGTCCCCAACCTTCCGTCAGAAACGCTGACTCTTCCTCTACGTTCGCCATATACCGAAGGGAAAGGGTCAGGCACCGTCAGGGGCGCTGCATGCAAGGCCGAAAAATAGAACTCGCGCGCTTCTGAAAAAGGATCGGCCCACGCAGCAGAGACAGAGGCGAAAAGAAAAGCGCGTGGCTGGCAAGCGCACAAGGCGCGCAAGGGGAAATTTCCCCATCCTTATCCTCTCCCCAGTCCCCCAGTCACATGCGCCGCCCGAGCTTCTCTTCTCCTGTCCTCCCCCCAGATCTGGCTCTTCCTCGGTCCTCACCTTCCGAGGTGGCTCGGGCCTCTGTGCTCTGGGCTCGGGCCTCTGGGCGGCGCGGGTGGAGCGGCGCTGTGGCAGGCGCCGCCGCGACGGACGGCGCGGGCGTGGCTTCCGGCTCCGCGACGGACGGCGCCGCGTACGAGGGCGCGGGCCGCTGCCGGCTCCGCGGCGGGATGGGCGACGCGAACCTGCAGGTGGGTGTGGAGGACCTAGTGGGTGGTGGCGTGGATGCGGCATAGGCGCCACAGCACAGGCGGCATCCATGTGTCAGTAGTCTGGTGCAGGTGAGCAACCCTTCGCTACCGTAGTTGCTAGCAATATCAGGCTATCAACGCTGCTTCTCCTCTCCCTACGGTTAGACGTTGCAGACACTTGTTCTTGGTACCTTATAAATCGATCTGGTAGATTTTTTTATTATGCCTTTGCAAATCTGGAATTTCATATTATTGCAATTCTTGAATTGTTTTTTTTCATTGCTTTCATTCAGTTACTTGCTGTCAAACTCACCAATAGGCAATAGCTATGAAATCTGCCAATGTAAGAATGATTTGTTACTCTGCTACAGAAATATTTATTTGAAGTGAAAGTAGGGGTAGAGATTTTGTGGGCATGGTACATCTACAAATTCTATTGCATGTATATAGGCTGCAGATGCATCTTGGAACTACCTTGTTTCTCTGAACTACATCTATTCATGCTCAATAATAAACATGGTGAAGGATTTTATTCTGTACAGACTTTGCGAGGCATCATTGGCAGTTAAATAAATATTTAATGTTCATATCATAGCCTGACGTATTGAGATAACTGTTTTAGCAAGATATCTTATTGATTGCTTGTCACTACTAGCTAGCTATCTTGTTAGTTATGCAGATTTAGAATTAGATTGCTAGTTAATCATGTTGATTCATGCTATATGTTTCCTGCTGCTTGTAGTTAACCTGCTGATTCATGCTATATAAAACACTAAATATGATTGTGCATACTAAGATTAGTGCCTGCTGATTCATGCTACATAAAACACTAAATATGATTGTGCATACTAAGATTAGTGCTATTGACCGCACATTCTTTCTTGATTATATATATATTTTTTGCAGTCAGTTTACTTGGAAGAATGAGCATGAAGATGGACATGCCTGCTTTAACAATGTCATCTCGCTCGGTCAGTTCATAGTTCTTGAGGTTCAGTAACTTGCAACTAAATCCATCTACATGCTTTAATTCTGCACACATACTTCATTGATTATGTTAAACTTTGCCTTCAGCCCACATCAAAATTGAAGGGTGGCTCAAATCCTGAAAATGTCGAACATGAGAAATCCTGAAAATGTCGAACATGAGATGTTGTGACTGCCTTTTCTATTATCATGTTTATTAGGATTTTGTGTCAAGTTGAGGTGTGGGAGCAAGTCCTGTGTTGTGAGAGATCTGTAGCAATTATGGTGAGGCAGAATAACATGAAGCCATTTTTGTCTAATGCAACTATGTGTTACAACAATTGGATAGGAAATTTTCCAAAATGAGATAAGCTTCTTGGTAGCTACTGATATTCAACATATTCCAAACTAGCCAATCAAACAAGGGAAAATTCCAAAATGAGATGAGCTTTTTAGTAATTAATAAAATCATAAGGTCATTCATTCTGTAGTCTCTAGTCTCTACCCTCAAATCGATAGTGCCAAGACTCACTACAACTGATGCAAATGCAGACAACTCTATTATCTAATTGCTCACAAGCTGACACAATAGAGATGACACCATCTGACACAATTTACCCTTATAGAGTGCTAGTACATTAAATTTTATTTGAATAATCTTTCCTGCAACTGCAAGTGTACACTGATGATAATGCAAGCAAACACACTGGTATCCTCTTGTGTTAAGCAGCTGTATTTTGCATTATTCAGCAAGTACTTCTTCATAGTTATTTTTAGTATGTGATTTCTGCACAGTTTTGTTTTTTTTTTGGAGAAGAAATGACATGGTAAGATCAGGCTACCATGTGACAAGACTGAATATTCTTATTCTTTGTGCTGGACAGACAATCTTTTAAATCTGAACATTTTGGTTCTAAAGATAGGTTCTAGTGCACTATCTTGTTGAAGTTTTTTGAACTACAGTTAGAATAGTAAAGAGCTTACTATTATGCAGATAGAAAACAGTGCCAATCACCTTCTTGAACACAACGGTGAGATCCCTGACTGCGTTGGCTCTTACTGTATGGTACAAAATTATTTTTGGTCTGGTGCAACTATTGTTATTTACATGCATCAGACCGAGGTGCTAGATACATGTTTTAATAGGACTATTTTAGTGTTGTATTTGTATCCGAACTGCAATTAGAAGATTCTACTTCTACACTTACTGTGAAAGTATGATCTCTTGGCTACATCCATGACATATGATCTCATGAATGGTTCCATTTATCGTTTTGGTTGTAGAGAGGGACCAGACATGTGCAGTAGCTGCTGCATTGCCATCGGAGCAATAGTTACTTGACTTCTATTTCTTATATTTGGTTGTAGAGAGGGACCAGACATGTGCAGTAGTATGTGCATGCTAAGTTTTTTTTTCTCTTAGTGTGGACAATGCTAGTGTTAGAACTTGCTAATCCTTTTATGGTGTACTTCATTTCCTGAAGATCTTGAAGATGAAGCAGACCGTGTATTTGAGAAATATGCACGCACCCAATGTAAGAATATGATGTACCAAGCTCGTCCAGATGCTGTCAAGTACTACTATCGCGAAATCATAAAGAGCCCGAAGTCTGATGCTAATTATGTATAATTATGTATCTTAACCTGCAGCTCATTCTTAACAAAGTACAAATAGAGATACCACCAGACCTGCTTCAGGTAGAAGAAAATGACATGGTAAGATTAACAATTTCTTCACCTGCAGCTGCTTGTGCTCAAAATTGTCTTGCTGTACCAATATGTATCTTGTGCATGTGCTTAAAATAGAGATACCACTAGCTCTCATTATCTTCATCTGCATGTGAAAAGATTCTGTAGAACAAGTGGCTATTTTTGCTTGTTGGTTGTTGGCATGTGTGTTGCTGCTAGTAAGTCCTAGTTTATTTGTCTAGTGAATGAAACTATGCAGCTGCTGCCTTTTATTTGTTCAAAGTGTTTCAGTGGTTGTAAATAGATGCATGCTTGCTTCCTGTAAGGATTGGCGTCAGCAGTAGGCTGTTTTATTTATTTATGCTTGCCTACTGGAATGATCCTATATATTTATTTTTGTTGTAGGGAGGGACTATAAATGGATCATCTCGTGCTTCAGCCAACCTGGACATGGACGACAGTGATGGCCATTGAGTTGTGCGATGGCAGGAAGTATTTTGTGAAGCTGTAGTCTTTTGTTTATCTACTATAGCTGATGGCAACAAAGTTCGAAGGCCATGCATGTGTCATGCTGGGTATTTTGTGCAAGGGAGGTATCTTGGTTGTGCATGAGCTGCTGCATATCTAGGCTGTGAAGCAAAATATGCGGACTCCATCACGCTTCAAGGCATGCATGCTAGTTGTCGAGTAGCAGCGGCATGTTGCCTATTCACTGCGTGTGCTTGTGCAAATGTGGGTGCATACTGCCATCAAAAAGCAGATTGCTACCTGTAGACTTCATGGGTCAAGGAATGTCGATTTCTTTTGGCTATCTTGTGCAGAAGTGGCAGCATACTGTCATGAGATAGCAGCTAGCTACTAGTTGTGTTGGGAGGATAGCATCTAATTGTAAGTTAGCACTTTTAACTTGTGCTATCCCTTTTAGGTCCCTAACTTGAAGGATGACTAGGAGGCACTAATTATTATAAAGCTTTGTATTCATGAACAACTTGAATGATGTTCTAAGATTATTGAATGTAATATTTATTACTTAAGCGTGGATGAATGGTTACATCAGTTGCTGTAATATTATTTTTTAGTGGCTGATTAGTTGCTGTGAACAGTAGAATAATAATGGCTAAATAATCAGTGATTTTGCCAGCCAAATGACTGGAAATATTTTCCCTGACGGTTGGACACTGACGGGAAAGTTTATTTCATGGCTGACACTTGGCGAACCGACGGGAAAGTTATTTCATCCCTGACGGTGCTGCACTAACAGGGAAAGTATGAAATTTCGCTGACAGTTCTCTGGCCGACGGGAAAAGCTAAAAGTATCCCTAACGTTTCTCGGCTGTCAGGGGAAATCTTCCTTGACGGCAGACTGAAAACCGACGCTGTATATCTTTTCTGACAGTTTCTGCCGTCAGTGAATAGTCAGTGATGGTTTTCCGTCAGGGAAACTCGACTTTCCGTGACGTTTTTCCGCTGACGGCTTATCCCTGACGGTAACCATCACAGATTACGTTTCCTGACGGTTTTCGGTACTTTTCCTGACGGAAGAGACCGTCAGGAAAAAACTGAGCTGGGGTAGTGCTGGAGAAGCTCGTCTGGCGCACACACAACATACAGCTAGAAACTGTTAGACTATTGTAATTATAATAGTCAGCCCTTGATTTTAGGCATGTACGCCTGTGCGGTTGGCTTAGAGCCACCCCGGCCTCCATATGTATACACGCACGTTGCTATGGAATAGATTGATTCTTTCCCACAATTACACTTTCATGGTATCACACGCGGTTCGCTCCTGCGACCGCGCTTCCGCAAACCCTCGCCGCCGCTGATTCGTCGTCGGCTATCGTAAATCCCAAGACCGACGTTGTCCTCCGGACGCCGGTCCTTTCTCACCGTCGCTGTCCAGCGGACGCCTGCTCTTCTTTTTCTTTTTTCTCCTGCCGCTGATCTCTCGCCAGGACCTCACGTTCTAACATGACCCAATTTGCTTCCAATCCAAAGATGTGCTTCGATCATTGGCCTCATCGTGACTTCGTCCATTTGGTGCAGTCGCGACTCACGAACGCCCAACCGTCGCGTCTCCCTCCCGATGGCGGACGACGACGACGCTATAGCCGCCGCCAAGGCCGTGGAGGACCGGTGCCTCGCGGTTGAGGCGAAGCCCGCCGTCTGCAGGTAGAGATGCACGCCTGCGCCGAGGAAGCCCGCCCCGTCTTCTTTGCTTTGGGATGAGTATGATGGCGCCCATGAGGCCCTTTGGGCGTAAGCCACCGCCCGTCGTCAACGTGAAGGCGCTCATCCTCGTCATCCTCGATTCGGCGATGAACACCTACACCAAGTGGCGCGGCATGTTCCTCACCGTCCTCGGCAAATATGCCACGACTTCGTCACGTCCTTGAGGATGAAGCTTTCCGTCGCGCCCGGCATGGGTTCAAGCCGATTGTCGCGGCCTCGACTTGGATCTACAAAGATCGTCTCCGGCGACTGCGGCAATCTCTAATGATGCGGCGGGGCCCGCTTCATGGGCGTGGTGCTATCTCGAGGACGAGTTCCTCGGCCAAAAGGAGTCCGGGCACTTCGCCGAGGCGAAATTCCGCAACTTCCGCCAAGAGTCCCTAAGCATCACCGACCTCGCCGCCGGCTCGAGTCGATGGCGGCTTCCCTTGCCGAGTTCGGCGATCCCATCGGCGATCGGTAGATGGTGCTCACGCTCCTTCAGCGGTCTCGGCGGCAAGTTTCGCCACATGGTGTCCATCCTCAAGATGCACGAGCCGTTCCCCACGTTCGCGGAGGCACGAATGCACCTATTGTTGGAGGAGATGAAATCGACGACGCGTCCTCCGTCCCCGCCATCCGCGCTCGTCATCGCCGCAACGCGCGCTACCAGAGCTCCGGGGCTCCAAAGCACCTCCACGTCCGGGCGCCTCCTCCAAGACGCCCCGGTGCCAAACGGTTAACGCACCGCCATCGCGCGGCCGTGGTGGGCGAACGGCAGCAGCAGAAGGCCAATCGGCGCTCCCGGTGGCGCCCTCCGGTGGGAGGAGGTGCACCCCGGCATGAATCCGTCTTCGCGCACCCATGGGTTGGCACTCTCGACTGTCAGGCCTATATGACCAGTCCGGCGCCCTACCGCCGCCGCCGGCGTTTAGCGCCGTTCCACAAGATCTGGTGGCTTGGCGCCCGGCAATTTTCGCGGCACACCCAGCGCCTATGGCAGCTTCTACGACGCTCCATCCCCTCCGTACGACACGTACTACGGGGGAGCTGCACCCCTAGGTTTCCAGGCGCCCGCACCGGCGTACCAAGCGGCGCCCTGGAACCCCACTCACGGTGGTGCATGGCATCAGGACGCCCTTGCACTCTCCTTCAACACCATGACTCTCAACCCGCCGAATGCTACTTCCGAGTGGTACGCTGACTCCGGTGCAGGTTCGCACATGACCTCGGATGTTGGTAAACTCTCCACCTTTTCCTCGCCCACTTCATTCACTCCTTCATCTATCATTGTGGGAAATGGTGCCTTGCTTCCTGTCACAACCACTAGATCACATACTTTTTCTTTACCGTATCGCAATTTAGTTCTCAATAATGTGCTGGTGTCTCCCAACATTATTAAGAATTTAATTTCTATTCATTGCTTTACCACCGACAATAATTGCTCCATTGAGTTTGATCTCTTTGGCCTTTCTATGAAGGATTTGCAAACTAGGAACGTGATCGCCAGGTGCAATAGCTCCGGTGACCTCTACCCGTTCTATGCACCCTCCACCACCACCTCTGCGTTCTTCGCTGCACCCACCTCCCTTTGGCATCGCCGTCTCGGTCATCTTGGGCGTGAAGCTTTGTGCAAACTTATTACCTCCGGTGTCATTTCCTGTAATAAAGATGATGTCAACCACATATGTCATGCGTGCCAACTTGGTCGTCATGCACGTTTGCCGTTCAGTTCATCTACCTCGCGAACTTCTCATAATTTTGATTTAATACACTGTGATTTATGGACCTCCCCAATTGTTAGTGTGTCGGGCTATAAATATTATTTGGTAATTCTTGATGATTGCTCCCACTACATTTGGACGTTTCGCTCCGCCTCAAATCCGAGACTTTTTCCACCCTTGCCAATTTCTTCACTTTTGTTCGCACCCAATTCGGCACCACCATCAAGAGCGTCCAGTGCGACAATGGCCGTGAATTTGATAATTCCCAGGCCCGCACGTTCTTTCTCTCCCACGGTGTTGCCTTACGCATGTCGTGCCCCTACATTTCTCAGCAAAATGGGAAAGCAGAACGTTCTCTTCGCACCATAAATGACATTCTTCGTTCTCTTTTCTTTCAGGCAAGTCTCCCTCCGGCTTATTGGGTTGAAGCCCTTCACACTGCGACATATCTTGTGAATCGGCTCCCCACTAAAATCCTTGCCTTCTCCACACCATATAGTGCCCTCTTTTCCTCCCAACCCTCCTATGATCATCTTAAAGTTTTTGGGTGTGCCTGTTATCCTAACATGTCCTCCACAGCACCTCACAAACTTGCCCCTCGCTTGTCCTTATGTGTTTTTCTCGGCTATTCCTCGGAACACAAAGGCTATCGGTGTCTCGAGCTCGAGTCGAACCGCATTCTTATTTCTAGACATGTCGTTTTTGACGAGTCCTTCTTTCCTTTCGCCGACATGTCTACCACTCCCATGGCATCCTCCGCCTTGGATTTTCTCCTTGATGAACATGATCTAACCGCTCCTATTCTTGGAGCAAGACTTGTGCATGTAGGTACACCTCACGTTGTGCATGGGCGTGTAGAGGCACCCACGCCTCCTCCTGCGCAGATGAGCGCTAGATTGAGGACGCCCAGTCCCTCGCCCGGGACCTCCGCCACGTTGATCGGTGTTGTCGCTGCCCTGTGCACCTCGCGCACAGTTGCCGCTAGCCTTCGCCGCCGCCGCCGGCGGCGTCCGGTCTGGTCTGCTGCCTCTGTGCATCTGCTGCGCTGTTGCCCGAGCACCGCGCGTATACCCGCGCCGACGACCGACACTCGCCCGGTCTCCATCACCCCTGTCGCCAATGCGCATCCCATGCGCACTAGCGGCAAAGACGACATTGCATAGCCCGTGGATCGCCTCTACCTCCACGCTGTGCCTATGTCACCACTGCCTCGCTCCGTTCGTGATGCATTGTCAGACCCCAATCAGCCTGGCAGGTGCTATACAGTATTTGACTTTCACCCGTCCAGACATTGCATTTGCTGTTCAGCAGATTTGTCTCTATATGCATGATCCTCGAGAGCCCCACCTCGCGGCTCTCAAGCGCATCTTGCGCTACCTGCAGGGCACTGTGTCCCTTGGACTGACTATGCACAGGTCTTCCCCTACGGAGCTCGTTGTCTACACGGATGCCGACTGGGCTGGATGTTCCGACACTCGCCGGTCGACCTCTGGCTATGCAGTGTTCCTCGGAGACAACCTGGTGTCGTGGTCCTCCAAGCGC